ACTGCCTTTTTCCCCCACACTTTTCAATATGGGTTAGCCATAATTTGTAATGCAGTAAGATTCATTTGCCATTGACTGCATTCCATCTGACCCCCTTACCATCTTTGTTGATTTTTAAATTTACATAGAATAAAACTCACTATTTGTAGCATACAGTTTTATGAGTTTTGACAACTGTATAGAGTTATACATTCACCTTCACAGTAACAGAACTGTCTCATCACCCCTAAAATTCTCTATTGTTGCATCCTCTTTGTAGTGAACCCCTTCTGCAACCCCATTCTTTGGCAATCACTAATCCCTATCAATCCCTATAGTACTGTCTTTTCTAAAATATCATGTAAATAGGATTATAGAATATATACAACACAGATAAATCAATGGGGTTGTTTGTTGTTGTTGAGTTGTCAAAAATCACTTGGCAATATATACGAGAGTATATTTTGGGGCTCTCTAGTCTATTCTATTGGTCTATATGTTTGTCTTTATGCCAGCACTACATTGTTTTGATTACTGTAGCTTTGTACTAAGCTTTGAAATAAGGAAGTATGAGTTCCAAAATTGTTCTTTTTCAAGATTATTTGGACTATTCTGGATGCTTGAAATTTCTTATGAATTTTAGGATGAATTTTTCTATTTTGCCCAGGACATCATTGAGATTTTTACATTCTTGGTTTAGTTAATTCCTAAATATTTTATTCTTTTTGATGCTATTGTAAATTGAATTGTTTTCCTCATTTCCTTTTCATATTATTCATTATTAGTATATAGAAACACAGCTGATTTTGTGCACTGATTTTGTATCCTACCGTGCTGCTGAATTTGTTTATTCTGATAGTTTTGTTGGGGGTGGGAGGATCTTTAGGGTTTTTATTATATTGAGGTAGCTTTCATCACCTCTGCATTTGCTGAGTATTTTATCATGGAAGGGTATTTAAATTTGTCAGATGCCTTTTCTACATCAGTTGAGATAATCATGTGATTTACCACTCCATTCTGTTAATGTGGTGATGTTTGAATGTTCAATCATCCTTGCAGTCCAGGAATAAATCCCACTTGGTCATAGTGTATAATTATTTTAATTTGCTACTGAATTTAGTTTGTTGGTATTTTGTTGAGGATTTTGCACTGATATGCATCAGGGAAGTGATATGGGTCTCTAGCTTTCTTCTCTACTGCTTTTTTTTTCTGGCTTTGGTATCAGGGTAATGCTAACCTCATAGAATGAGTTTAGAAATGTTCTCTCATTTTCAATTTTTTGGGTATGGGGTGTGCTCACTGATACTGGGATATCACTTCTTCTAGCCCCTCTCAGCAGACATAGGTTGGTCTAAGAGTTGAATTTGTGTTATTTACATGTTTGGTAAGATTCACCAGTGAAGCCATCTGATTTACGCCCTTTCTTTGTCAGGAAGATTTTGATAATTGATTCAATCTTCTTACTAGTTATGGGGTTTACTCTGATTTTCTGTTTTTTCATGATTCAGTCCTAGTAGGTTTGTATACATAAGAATTTGTCTATTTTATCTAGGCTGTCCTATTTGTTGGCAAACAGTTGTTTATAGTATACCTCTTAGAATTCCTTATTTCTGTAGAATTGGTAACAATGTCCCACTTTTATTTTTGGCTTTGAGTCTCTTTTTCTTAGTCAATCTAGCTAAAGTTTTGTCAGTTTTGTTCATCTTTTCAAAAATCAATCTTGGTTTTGTTTATTTACTGATAAGAAGGGATTTATTTCTGTCATATACTGTATGTTGTTTATATGCCTTATAGCTCTTTTGTTCTTCATTTCCTACATACTGTCTTTTGTATTTAATTGATTTTTGCTAATAAAATGTTTCAGTTTCCTCGTTTTCTTTTCTATATGTTTGCATGTGTGTGTGTGTGTGTTTACCACCACGATTACATTTTACATTTAACTTGCTAGTTTATTCATTTTAATTATTCAATTGTATAAACATACTGTAATTTATGTATCCATTCTATTCTTGATGGTTCTTTGGATTTTTTTAAATTATTGGACATTTTTTAGAGCAGTTTTAGCTTCTACAGAGCAAAAGAAACTATCATTAGAGTAAACAGGCAGCCAACAGAATGGGAAAAAAATTTTTGCAACCTACCCATCTGACAAAGGGCTAATAACCAGAACCTACTAACACAAATTTACAAGAGAAAAACAACCCCATCAAAAAGTGGACAAAGGATATGAACAGACACTTTTCAAAAGAAGATATTTATGCAACCAACAAACATATGAAAAAAAGCTCATCATCACTGGTCATTAGAGAAATGCAAATCAAAACTACATTGAGATACCACCTCACACCAGTTAGAATGGCGATCATTAAAAAATCAGGAGACAACAGATACTGGAGAGGATGTGGAGGAATAGGAACACTTTTACACTGTTGGTGGGAGTGTAAATTATTTAAACCATTGTGGAAGACAGTGTGGCAATTCCTCAAGGATCTAGAACTAGAAATACCATTTGACCCAGCAAACACATTATTGGGTGTCTATCCAAAGGATTATAAAACATTCTATTATAAAGACACTTGCACATGAATGTTCATGGCAGCACTGTTTACGATAGCAAAGACTTGGAACCAACCCAAATGCCCATCAATGATAGACTGGATAAAGAAAATGTGGCACATATACACCATGAAATACTATGCAGCCATAAAAAAGGATGAGTTCATGTCCTTTGCAGGGACATGGATGAAGCTGGAAACCATCATTCTCAGCAAACTGACACAAGAACAGAAAACCAAACACCGCATGCTCTCACTTATAAGTGGATATTGAATAATGAGAGCATATGGACACAGGAAGGGGAGCATCAGAAACTGGGGCCTGTTGGGGGATGGGGAGCTAGGGGAGGGGCAGCAGGAGGTGGGGGTATTGCGGGGGATAGCATTAGGAGAAATACCTATATAGATGACAAGGGGATGGATGCAGCAAACACCAAGGCACACGTATACCTATGTAACAAACCTGCATGTTCTGCACATGTACCCCAGAACTTAAAGTGTAATTTAAAATAATAATAAAAGAAAGAAGACAGGGCCCAGTGCTTATCAGCCACAGCATAGACTCAGCACTTGGGAGAGCTGAAGGGTTTATCACACTAAGTCGTGATGTTGAGTTCTAGGTGTCAACTCGAGTGGGTTAAGGGATTCCCAGATCACTGGCAAACCATTATTTCTGGGTGTGTCTACGGAGGTATTTCCAGAAGAGATCAGCATTTGAATTAGGCTGGGTGAAGAAGATTGCCTCACCAGGTAGGCAGGCATTGTCCAGGCTGATGAGGGACCCAGTAGAGCAAGAAGAGGGAAGAAAGTCGGATCCCCTCTCTCCTCCTGCCCTAGGACATCAGAGCTCCAGGTTCTCAGGCCTGCAGCCTCCTGAAATTACACCAGCATCCCCCTGCCTCTCAGGCCTTGGGACTCAGACTGAACTACATCACCACATTTCCTTCTCCAGCTTGCAGATGGAGGACTGTGAGGCTTCTCCATGGTCACATGAGCCACCTCCTCTGAAACCCCCTCTCATATATCTATGTAGATCCTTTTGGTTCTGTTTTTCTGGAGAACTGGCTCATACACCAGCACAGGCAAGAGGGAGTAGATTAGGTTGAAAGTCGGTCAACTGAACAGTTTCTCTCATTCTCCATTTTTGGGTCTTCCCATGATTAACACATCAGCAGCCACCTCCCTCCAACTGACCCCAGCCGTGCTTATCTCTTGGGAGATGTTCAAGGAGACTCACACCTCTTAGACCAGTGAGGGGGCGTTTGTGTTGCCTGAGGGCTGGCACAGCATTCCCCAGGTGTGCTGGGGCCTTGTTCCTCAAGATGCTCAGTGGGAACCTGCCCAAGCCTTCTGGAAAACTGCAGACTTTCCTCTTCTAAGGTTCACAAGGGACATTTGCATTTTCTGGACCAGTTTGATCTTGGGACCTATTAATCAAGTGTCATTTATTAATATCTCAGGCATCTTGAGTTCTACAGAACATCTTCAGGAAAGCATTTTGTGTGTCCGAGATCTTCTTCATGAGAGTCAGTATTCCAGGCAACCCAGTGGAGTGGGTGAGGCGTGCTTTCTGCCTCGATGGTCCCCAGCAGCCCAAGTGCATTTCCCCTGCCCTGCCTTGCCTTTCCAAATGAGTTGTGCTGTGCTCGTGACCTACACAGGCAAGATCTTGCCTGAAACGTGCCTGCTGCCACTGTGCCCTCGGGGCCGGGCCTCAGAAGGCCTGCCTTGCCCTCTTCCTTCCTACCCTAGCTAACTTGGACCCTCTACCCAGTCAGTCTTCTGTTCCTTTAGGAAGCCCCTGCTCCCCCTGACTTCCCACTAACCCAGTCTGCCTCCTCCCCAGGCTGGAATAAGTGCCCTCCTTTATACTTACCTCCACCATTCAGCAAATAGACATAGAGAGGCACGTCTCTATCACTGGCCTGGGAATGACTCTCCCACACTGTGTTGGCCCCTTGAGGACAAGCACTATATTGTACTCATCTTTCTGGTTCTGGCACCACACAAGCACATTAGATAAATTGATTTGTATATTAACAGAAAAGGATTGGGCTAGGGAAAGGACTCTTTAGTGAGTGTTAAATACACTAGAAAATGGGGGCCAGCTAAAACAGAATGAGAGCAAGCCTACAGCAGTTTGGCACTCAGCAGCCCCCTGCCTTCCAGCACCTCATGCAGCTCCCCAAGCCCCGCATTCTCCCCCGTCTGTGAAACGGACATGTGTAACTAAAAGGAATTGGAATGGTCTAGAGAGTCTTTGGCCTACAGTAAATGCTATTGTTATCTGTTGGCGTTAATATTTTTATGCAGCCTGCTCTAGGAAGTGACAATCCTGTGTTCTCTAAGATGAACCTAATGAGAACCACTCAGGTTAGTAGTCACAACCCATCATTAGCAGAAGCTCAGAAACTAAGGGGTTAAATGCCTGGCCATTAAGTTTTCTTATCATCTTTATTTCTACAGAATCGTCTCCCCTGCTCCGCAAACATGAAAGAAAAGATGAGAGAAGCACCCCAGAAGAGGAAGGGAGAAATGCCCCAGAAAAAAAAATCATCCAGTCTCCGAAGCTTCGCCCAGGTGGGCACATGACAGCCAGTCTCTCCTCTGGCTGCCTGGCAGGCTGCAGGCTGTCACTGAACCTTCGGCCCAGCATGCTTTTGAGTGCGCAGAAATGCTGCACGCCCTCTTCTTTGAAAACCTGTTGAGCAAATGCCTGCAGTTTATGTACCTTCAACCTCCACTGCCAAAGCCTTCCGAGACCAAGCGTGCTGCGCACACGGCAGCTCTTTGTGTCCTGCTCCTGAGAATCGCCTGCATCATCTTGTTGAGCTCCATTGAACTCCACGGTCTGCGTGCTCTGTGGAACTCAAGGTCTTCATTTCTCATGGAATTCAGGATCATTTTACGCCATGGAACTCAAGGCCTTCATTTTCTGTGGAACTCAGTCTTCTTGCTCTGTGGAACTCGGGGTCCTTTTTCTCCATGGAACTTAGGGTCTTCTTGCTCCATGGAACTCAGGGTCTGCATGCTCCCTGGAAAGCACTGGGACACACTTGACCCCCCATACCCACACATACATCCTTCGTTTTATTCCTGCCCCTCACCTGTCCATCCTATGAGGTTTCTCCACTTCCACTCTGCTTTGAACCCATGCCAGGTCTTTTGGGCTGGCCCGAAACATGAGAGTTAGTCGGAGGGAGAGGCTGAGGTCACTCCTTAAGGCAAATTCTGCTGGTGTCGCACCTGATAGAGCTGCCTGGGGAGGACGTTTCCTTGGAGTTCATGCCTGGGTGGCCACTGGCTTCTTATGGTGCCAGCACTGCTGCTGGTGCCATCAGGGAGCCACAGGGCCACATGGAGACTGTGCTGGAATTGGTGGGTCTCATCTCTAGGTCAGGCGGGACTGGCAGGCACATTGACTGTCCTCATGGCCTCTCCCCTGACCCTGGTCCTCCCCAGGATGCTGATTTTCTGCACTGCTGCTCTTCCAGGAGGAATTAAAAGGTGGGGATGGCTAAACCCTCTGCTGTAGATTAGCAGAGACCTTAGGCCATGTCTTGCAAAATGGGGAAGGACTGCAGATGGTGGTGGGATCGGCCGAAGGCTGGGGCTTCACGGTGATGTTGAAGCCCTCCGCCCTTGGCATGTTTGTAGAGCAGGTTCAGTTAGGTGGCCCGTCACCAACTCCTGGATCTGGTCTCACTCGCAAGGCATGGACACCATGAGCTCAGTTTGCCAGGACTCTTGGAGTTAGGGAGAGCTCAGCGACAGGGTGGCTCTGATTCCTTCTCATGCTGAGACTCTGCTGGTGCTCCTCCAGGGAGCCCTGGGGTTTTTTCTTAGATGCCTCTCTCACTGGAGTTGAGAATTGGAAGTGTTTTCAGTGGGTTTGCACCCTCCACATATGTAAAAGGTGTTAGGTTTTCTTCCTTTCAGTATCCATTGCTGCAGCTTCCTGAAGTTGTATCCATTAAAAGGCAGGGACCCAGTGCCCAGGCTACAGAGGGTGACTTCAGGCTCCACACCACCACTGTGGGCCAGAGTGCCAGTGGCCTTAGAATTCCCAGATAGCACAAGGAGGCTGCCCCAGAGGGTGTTCAGCTTGTTGCCAACAATTACTGAATGCAGATTCTGCAAGCTTGATGTTCAGGTCAGCAGCCAAAAACAGGTGTTCTGTTTTTAGGTCCCTGTGGACAAGGCCCTTCTGGTCCTCCCCAGGCTACTGATGTCTTGTGTTGCTTCTCTTATGGTAGAAGCTAAAGAGGGAATGGCTGGAGCTCAGCTGACTCCGGTTAGAGCCTGGGCTCTGTATTGCAGACGTGACCCAGCAGAATTCCTCATGGGCCCCTTATGTCATGGGTACAGCTGCTGGAGCCAGGGTTGTCGCAAGCAGTAAAGGTATTTACCAAGACAGTTGTGAGTAAAGAAAGGCAAATGTATTACAGAAAGTATGAAAATACATTGCGAGAATGCCACAAGCAGCACAGCACAGAAGGGGCTGTCTGCAAAGATGCGAGGCTGGAGGGAAGTTTTCTAAGGTTGCGCTTCTCGGGCCTATGTGCAGGTCAGCTTGTGTATATGCTAAGAACATGTTGGAATAATTTTAACTGCCAGATCTTTGCTATCCTGGTGCCCGAGGGAAACCCTCTCCTGCTGTCAGCTGTCTTGTAACCCTCATGCCTTTCATTTCTGGAGTTGCGATATAGCGGCTGTGATTTTTCACACAAAAGGGTTGCAGACTGGGTTAGGTCCCTGTTTCACTAGCCTGGCTCTTTCCCACTTCCTGTTAATTTACTAATCTATTAGAGCCCCACACATTTCTCTTTCATATGGCCATGATCCAGAAGGCAACGCATCACCTCTCCTCAGCTACAGTGCTCCGTGCCCAGGCAGTATCTCCTGGGTCTGGAGCACCTCAGTTTCACTGTCAGGGCCTTCACCATACAGACTTGGCAGCATAGTCTAGAGGCTGGAGGGACTCTGTGACTCTTGCTAATGGCAGCCGCAGCCACCGTTTCCCCAAGCAGGATGTGCTGGAAGAACTGCATCTTGGCTTAACAGAATTTTATTACTGGTAGCTCAAAAAAGGAGGGAACAGAGCTTCTCTAGATGATTTCAGGGAACAAGCTACTATTGGAATGTTAATTTAAGACTTTTATCAATTAAAAATGTAAGAACCAAGAATATTCAGTTAGGAAGAATGAATATATTGAATAAATACTGTTAAACTTTATGCTACTTTTCAACAAATATTTTCTGATCATCTCTGTGAGTCAGGCACTGTGGTAGATATCGTAACATAGAAACATAGCGTCCATCAAATACGGTGTGGGTACTGTATTTCAAATTTAAAAATACAATAAAGGTGCTGTATAAGAAACATGTCAGTGTCCTGGAGGCAGGGTCCAGAGACATCTCCTGTGGATAACAGGCTGAGTTTTAAGGGATGAGCCTGGGTGATGAGATGGATGGGAGAGAGCACCTAGGAAAAGTGTCTTCAGGCAACCATGGTTCAGTGCCCTGCAGCCCTTGTGGCAGGAGAGTGAGGAGCACGGTCCTTCTGGTGATTTCTGTGGTTATGTTCTGTAAACTCGCCTCGAGTCCTGAAGTATTGATTCTGGAGAATCACAGGGTAAGGTTCCCAGAAGCCTCTGGTCATAATGTTTTCAAGAGCCAAGGCACCATTCATGTACCATGGGTTCATTTTCCAACATCCTTGTAAAAAAGCCAGTTCTCTCAGTGTTGAAAACTGCCCTTCCACATACCCTTTTCCTGTAGAGCACTTTCTGATCTACAGAGCTGCCGCTCTTGAAAAGCTCCCATTTTCCATGCCATGGCGCCTCTCAAAAGGTGCCAGCCAGGCAGCACTAGCCGAGGAGTGGTTTTGGCTCTCCTCACAGCAGTGCTGCTCACAGTGCTTTCATTGGTCGTCATCTCATGAAGTCTCAAATGTGGCCGCTTCTCCACCTTTTCCACGGTTTCATCACACGCTGTGGGTGTTGGTTTTGCACTTTCCCGAGCAGCCTTGTGTACAGGTTGGTGAAGCTCCTCTTCCTCTTTCTGGATGCCCTGTAGTGTTTATCATTAGCATTGAACTCACAGCTGGCCACACGAGAACCTACACCGAACCAAGCTTGGCTAACAAGTGTTTTCTCTGTAAGGCACACCACAGCCTTCTTGCTTATAAGGACACTAGACAACGCTTCAGTGTTATGTCTGGAGGCCGTTTCAAGCTGTGAAATCAACAACAAGCTCAAAAATGCAAAAGAAGTGTCACTATATAGACCATGAGAAGACTAGTTTGCAGGTTGAGAGTGGGAAAAAGGAGGCAGTGTGGGGCCCTGCATGGCTCAGATTGTTGCCCTGCTCTGCACATGTTTTCCTTTGACTGTGAAAGCAACACGAGTACTGCTTGGGGGACTAAAAATACACTTTAACAAGCAGACAAGTTCACAAATACGAAATAGTGGCTAGCGAGGGACCACCCCCACGCTGGCGCTGCAGATGAGGCTGTTGCAGGTATGAGGCTTGCTTCTATCCCGGGAGCTTCTGGTTGCCACCGCTGCCTTTGTACACCAAGGAGTGGTGTCACCTGTACTGTAGCAAAAGCACCTTTTCTCAATGTAAAGCATGGCTTGCAGAGAGGAAGACAGAGACTGGCTAGAACATGGCTGTGTTGGGGTGAAGCAAGGAGGAGGGTGGATAGACTAAGCCAGGTCAGAGGACCGAGGAGCCAACCTGAGAGCCCCGTGCACCTGTGAGTCCCGGCGAGGGAATGTTGGTCATGGATACTGTTAAGGAGGAAGCATCCAGGACAGCTCACAGGTCCCTGGCTGAGGAGCACGGGGGAGGGATGGCAGGGCTCGGGAATCCAGCCTTCAAGTCAGACACACCTGAGTTCAAGTAAAGACTGACTGGCTGTGTAGCCTTAGACGTGTTCCTTCACTTCCCTAAGCTTCTGTTTTCTCATTTCCAGTACATAGATTCCTATGCCAAATGAATATTAAATCAGTCAGTGATTTTGAGGTTAAAATGAGTGCTGGTACTTTTTATCTAAATAAAGAAAATGGGAAAAGAGGCAGCATTTGAGGTGGGAGGGAGAGGAGTCTAGGCATGGGTAGTTGGACGTGCCCATGGACACTCATGGAAGAATGTCCAGCAGCCATCTGGTGTGCTTCCAGGATGCCAGGGTAGGGACATGGGATGGCAGCATACAGACCTGGAAGTTACAGCCAGGCAGGCGGCTGCTGCAGCTGCGAAGAGCAGGCAGTGCAGGATCAGAGGGCTGGGGGTAAAGCCTGGGGAATGCCCACATTTAGGAAGAGACCAGGAAGGAGATCAAAAAAGCAACAGGAAAAGCAGGAGGGTGTGAAGGGATGGGAGGTGCAGGAGGAGGGTTTCCAGGAGGGAGTGGCAGGGGTCGGTGTTCTACAGACAAGGACTGGAAGTCAGCACTTTTGAACTGTAGGGACCTAAGAGATCCTTTAGTCTAATCCCCTTATCTATCCTGAGGAAGAAATCAAGATTCCAAGGTGATGTGGGTTGCTTGCTATAGATCACAATGTGATTTCACAGTGGGATACCTCGATTTCTAAAGAGTAATAAAATATTTAATAAGTATTCTAGGATTGGAATTGCTCCTATTCAGTCACACTGGATATTTTCCCAATTTGGTGAAACTGAGATTTTCACAACTGTTAACCATTCCATGTACTAAGATGCCTCTTAAACCTGTTTTTATCATATATTTCACAAATTTTGCTATAAAAATAAGGTTAAAAACAACCTCGTCAAACTGCATTTTAATTTTAGTAAATACAAATTATGCTGAAAGAGGAGGGTTTGATGGCCCCCCTCACAGGATGTGTGACAAGGGTGTGGCTCATGTGTTCGGTCACCACCACCTATTCAAACCCCTTACAGAAGGGGGATCGTGCAGATGGACAGGTGCAGGAGCACAAGTGGGTGTGTGTTACAGTGTGCTCTTTTAGCCTTGCCATCTGTGGATGGCTTGAGTGTTAACCAACTCAGTGGACCCTCAGACTTTCTGCAAAGGCAGAAGGCCATTGTGACAGCTTTCTATATCCCAAGCCCTTGTCCGCATCCTGGAAGAATCAAGTCACACACGGACTTGAAGGATGAATGCAGGGGTTTCACTGAGGGGTTAGAAGTGGCTCTCAGCAAGATGGATGGGGAGCTGGAAGTGGGGATGGAGTGGGAAGGTAATCTTCCCTGGAGCTGAACGGAAGAACCACCCCCAGCTGAACTCGTCTCGGCTTTCAGATGTTCCTCATCTTCTCACTTTTTCTCCCATGCTGTTCTGTTGTTTATCTGCTTGTCTCTTCATCTCCTCATCTGCTCCTGGAACCTGCAGTCTGGGGTTGATATGGTTACAGAATATGGGAGCGTGGTGGGCCAAAAGGCACGTTTTAGGTATGAAAACAGAAATGCCTGTTCCCATTGAGGGCCACAGGTTTTCAGGCTTCAGGGTGGGCCTCTGCTGGGGAGCCACCCTCTTATACGCAGTATTTCCCTGTCTCCTTTCCATATTAACACCTCCATAAAATTCAGTTTGAAAAAACAGCACAAGTTAAAAGTTTGGCTATTTAAACTAAAAAGTAATTATTTGCTAAATTATTTTGTATACAAAGACCCAAGGATTAGAAATACTTTAATATTTGGAGCTTGACTCTCCTTTGAAGGCACCATTCATTCCTGAGCCATCTTGGTTTCCCTCATGAGGCAGCAGGAGTGCCACCGAATGAGCACGGGCAAAATCGCTGGATACAGTTAGTCAGTACATTCTATTTTCTGAAAAATACCACCTAACTACTTGTATAGATATAGAATTGCATTTTCAAGCCAAGTTGGAATTACAAATTGTAGCCCATTTGAAAATGTATAAATGTGTGACATACACACCCAGAGGAAAAGAAGTCACAATTATGAAAGAACAAAGTGGGAAAATAACTCTTTCATGTAAGATTAAACATTTTGGTTGCTTACTGAAATAAAAATACCTGTGACTGATTCTCTTTTTCTTATTTATTTATTTATTTTTATTGCATTTTAGGTTTTGGGGTACATGTGCAGAACATGCAAGATAGTTGCATAGGTACACATGTGGCAGTGTGATTTGCTGTCTTCCTCCCCTTCACCCACATCTGGCATTTCTCCCCATCTTATCCCTCCCCAGCTCCCCCGCCACTGTCCCTCCCCTATTCCACCCAATAGACCCCAGGGTGCAGGGCTCCCCTCCCTGTGTCCATGTGTTCTCATTGTTCATCACCCATCTATGAGTGAGAATATGCAGTATTTCATTTTCTGTTCTTGTGTCAGTTTGCTGAGAATGATGTTCTCCAGGTTCATCCATGTCCCTACAAAGGGCACAAACTCATCGTTTTTGATGGCCGCATAATATTCCATGGTGTATATGTGCCACATTTTTCCAGTCCAGTCTATCACCGATGGGCACTTGGGTTGGTTCCAGGTCTTTGCTATTGTAAACAGTGCTGCAATGAACATTCCTGTGCATGTGTCCTTATAGTAGAACGATTTATACTCCTTTGGATATATACCCAGTAATGGGATTGCTGGGTCAAATGGAATTTCTATTTCTAGGTCTTTGAGGAATCGCCACACTGTCTTCCACAATGGTTGAACTAATTTACACTCCCACCAGCAGTGTAAAAGTTTTCCTATTTCTCCACATCCTCTCCAGCATCTGTTGTCTCCAGATTTTTTGATGATCGCCATTCTAACTGGCATGAGATGGTATCTCAATGTAGTTTTGATTTGCATCTCTCTAATGACCAGTGATAATGAGCATTTTTTCATGTTTGTTGGCCTCATGTATGTCTTCTTTTGTAAAGTGTCTGTTCATATCCTTTGCCCATTCTTGAATGGGCTTGTTTGTTTTTATCTTGTAAATCTGCTTGAGTTCTTTGTAAATTCTGGATATCAGCCCTTTGTCAGATGGGTAAACTGAGAAAATTGTTTCCCATTCTGTTGGTTGCCGATTCACTCTAGTGACTGTTTCTTTTGCCGTGAAGAAGCTGTGGAGTTTGATTAGGTCCCATTTGTCTATTTTGGCTTTTGTGGCCAATGCTTTTGGTGTTTTGGTCATGAAGTCCTTGCCTACTCCTATGCCCTGAATGGTTTTGCCTAGATTTTCTTCTAGGGTTTTTATGGTGCCAGGTCTTACGTTTAAGTCTTTAATCCATCTGGAGTTAATTTTAGTGTAAGGTGTCAGGAAGGGGTCCAGTTTCTGCTCTCTGCACATGGCTAGCCAGTTTTCCCAACACCATTTATTAAACAGGGAATCCTTTCCCCATTGCTTGTTTTTGTCAGGTTTATCAAAGATTGTATCGTTGTAGATATGTTATGTTGCCTCCGATGCCTCTGTTCTGTTCCATTGGTCTATATCTCTGTTTTGGTACCAGTACCATGCTGTTTTGATTACTGTAGCCTTGTAGTATAGTTTGAAGTCTGGTAGTGTGATGCCTCCTGCTGTGTTCTTTTTGCTTAGAATTGACTTGGCTATGCGGGTGCTCTTTTGGTTCCATATGAAGTTCAAGGTGGTTTTTTCCAGTTCTGTGAAGAAAGCCAATGGTAGCTTGATGGGGATAGCGTTGAGTCTATAAATTACTTTGGGCAGTATAGCCATTTTCATGATATTGATTCTTCCTAACCATGAACATGGAATGTTTCTCCATCTGTTTGTGTCCTCTCTTATTTTCTTGAGCACTGCTTTGTAGTTCTCCTTGAAGAGGTCTCTTACATTCCTTGTTAGTTGTATTCCTAGGTATTTTATTCTCTTTGTAGCAATTGTGAATGGCAGTTTGTTCTTGATTTGGCTCTCTTTAAGTCTGTTATTGGTGTATAGGAATGTTCGTGATTTTTGCACATTGATTTTATATTCTGAGACTTTGCTGAAGTTGCTTATCAGTTTCAGGAGTTTTTTGGCTGAAACGATGGGGTCTTCTAGATGTACTGTCATGTCGTCTGCAAATAGAGACAATTTGGCTTCCTCCTTTCCTAATTGAATACACTTTATTTCTTTTTCTTGCCCGATTGCTCTGGCTAGAACTTCCAGTACTATATTGAATAGAAGTAGTGAGAGAGGGCATCCTTGACTAGTGCCAGATTTCAAAGGGAATGCTTCCAGTTTTTGCCCATTCAGTATGATATTGGCTGTTGGTTTGTCATAAATAGCTTTTATTATTTTGAGATACATTCCATCGATACCGAGTTTATTGAGGGTTTTTAGCATAAAGGGTTGTTGAATTTTGTCAAAGGCCTTCTCTGCATCAATTGAGATAATCATGTGCTTTTTGTTTTTGGATCTGTTTATGTGGTGAATTACGTTTATAGACTCGTGTATGTTGAACCAGCCTTGCATCCCCGGGATGAATCCTACTTGATCATGATGGATGTTTTTTGATGTGCTGTTGCAATCGGCTTGCCAGTATTTTATTGAAGATTTTTGCGTCTATATTCATCATGGATATTGGCCTGAAGTTTTCTTTTCTTGTTGAGTCTCTGCTGGGTTTTGGTATCAGGATGATGTTGGTCTCATAAAATGATTTGGGAAGGATTTCCTCTTTTTGGATTCTTTGGAATAGTTTCAGAAGGAATGGTAACAGTTCCTCTTTGTGTGTCTCGTAGAATTCAGCTGTGAACCCATCTGGACCTGGGCTTTTTTTGTGTGGTAGGCTCTTAATTGCTGCCTCGACTTCTGCCCTTTTTATTGGTCTATTCATAGTTTCGGCTTCCTCCTGGTTTAGGCTTGGGAGGACTAGTTTACTAGTTTATGTGAATAGAGTTGTTTGTAATATTCTCTGATGATGGTTTGAATTTCTGTGGAATCTATGGTGATTTCCCCTTTCTTGTTTTTTATTGCATCTATTTGGTTGTTCTCTCTTTTCTTTTTTATCAGTCTGGCTAGTGGTCTGTCTATTTTGTTGATCTTTTCATAAAACCAGCTCTTGGATTTATTGATTTTTTGAAGGGTTTTTCGTGTCTCTACCTCCTTCAGTTCTGCTCTGATCTTAGTTATTTCTTGTCTTCTGCCAGGTTTTGAGTTTTCTTGATCTTGCTCCTCTAGCTCTTTCAATTTTGACGATAGGGTGTCAATTTTAGATCTCTCCACTCTTCTCATGTGGGCACTTATTGCTATATACTCTCCTCTAGAGACTGCTTTAAATGTGTCCCAGAGATTCTGGTATGTTGTGTCTTCTTTCTTTTTGGTTTCAAAGAACTTCTTTATTTCTGCCTTCATTTCATTGTTCATCCAGTCAACATTCAAGAGCCAGTTGTTCAGTTTCCATGAAGCTGTGCAGTTCTGAGTTCGTTTCTGAATTCTGAGTTCTAACTTGATTGCACTATGGTCTGAGAGACTGTTATAATTTCAGTTGTTTTGCATTTGCTGAGGAGTGATTTACTTCCAATTATGTAGTCAGTTTTAGAGTAGGTGTGATGTGGTGCTGAGAAGAATGTATATTCTGTGAATTTGGGGTGGAGAGTTCTGTAAATGTCTATCAGGTTTGCTTGTTCCAGGTCTGAGTTCAAGTCCTGGATATCCTTGTTAATTTTCTCTCTGGTTGATCTGTCTAATATTGACAGTGGGGTGTTAAAGTCTCCCACTATTATTGTGTGGGAGCCTAAGTCTCTGTGTAAGTCATTAAGAACTTGCTTTATATATCTGGATGCTCCTGTATTGGGTCCATATATATTTAGGATCGTTGGCTCTTCTTGTTGTATCGATCCTTTTACCATTATGTAATGTCCTTCTTTGTCTCTTTTGATCTTTGTTGCTTTAAAGTCTATTTTATCAGAGACGAGAATTACAACTCCTGCTTTTTTTTTTTTTTTGCTCTCCATTTGCTTGGTAAATCTTCCTCCATCCCTTTATTTTGAGCCTTTGTGTATCCTTGCCTGTGAGTTGGGTTTCCTGGATACAGCACACCGATGGGTTTTGTATTTTTATCCAATTTGCCAGTCTGTGTATTTTGATTGGTGCATTTAGCCCATTTACATTTAGGGTTAATATTGTTATGTGTGAATTTGATACTGCCATTTTGATGCTATCTGGCTGTTTTGCCCATTAGTTGATGCAGATTTTTCATTTTGTTGATGCTCTTTAGCATTTGGTGTTATGTTTTTGGAATGGCTGGTACTGGTTGTTCCTTTCTATGTGTAGTGCCTCTTTCAGGAGCTCTTGCAAAGCAGGCCTGGTAGTGACAAAATCTCTGAGTACTTGCTTGTTCGCAAAGGATTTTATTTTTCCTTCACTTCTGAAGCTCAGTTTGGCTGGATATGAAATTCTGGGTTGAACGTTCTTTTCTTTAAGGATGTTGAATATTGGCCCCCACTCTCTTCTGGCTTGTAGGGTTTCTGCCAAGAGATCTTCTGTGAGTCTGATGGGCTTCCCTTTGTGGGTGACCCGAACTTTCTCTCTGGCTGCCCTTAGCATTTTCTCCTTCATTTCACCCCTGGTGTATCTGACGATTATGTGCCTTGGGGTTGCTCTTCTTGCAGAATATCTTTATAGTGTTCTCTGTATTTCCTGGACTTGAATATTGGCCTGCCTTGCTAGGTTGGGGACATTTTCCTGGATAATATCCTGAAGAGTATTTTCCAGCTTGGATTCATTCTCTTCGTCACATTCAGGTACACCTATCAAACGTAGATTAGGTCTCTTCACATAGTCCCACATTTCTTGGAGACTTTGTTCATTCCTTTTTCCACTTTTTTCTCTAATCTTGGCTTCTCTTTCTACTTCGTTGTGTTGATCTTCGACTTCTGATATCCTTTCTTCTGCTTGGTCAATTCGGCTGTTGAAACTTGTGCATGCTTTGCGAAGTTCTCGTGTTGTGTTTTTCAGCTCCTTCAATTCACTCATACTCCTCTCTAAGTTGTCCATTCTTGTTATCATTTCCTCAAATCTTTTTTCAAGGTTCTTAGTTTCTTTGCATTGAGTTAGAACATGTTCTTTTAGCTCATGGAAGTTTCTCATTACCCACCTTCTGA